GTTCAATCAAGAAACGAATTGAACAGATTTAAAGGTCACAGATCTTTAATACGTCTTCAATACATATCACCCAACGATTTTTCAATATATACCCATCACTTAATGTATTAAAAAACATAAAAATCAACATACTATATTCGATTGGCCTTTTCACGGGGTCACAGGCGACGCCGCATGCTTTTTCATATGAGATTTCCTTGGGCTTTTCTCATACTTCCTCTTTCCTCTTCTTTCTGGCATGGCATGGATGTTTATCGCCCTTTCGGAACCCTTGGGTTTAGTCATTTTTTCGTCGATTGTAAATACGAAAGTTTAAAAATAACATCGGACGAAATGATGAGGTAGACGAAGAATGTAATCAGTTCACTTGGGTGTGTGAAGAACAAACATTCCTCGACAGGTCGAAGTAGAATAACTAATTAGAGATATTCGTGGGGTGGATAACTGTCGGAGTGATTTATCAGAAATTGCGGGGAGAAGTTTGGGGGTAGTTTCATTTGATAAAAAAGGAAGAAAGATTTGAAGCACGTTAAATACGGAAACACACTTATTTAAAATAATTAATTTTTTTTATTAACCTAATATCGGGGATTTGACTAGAAAAGTTGGATCCCTAATTTATGCACGGTAGACTTGAAACCCTTGGGACAGTGCAATTTCCTCTTAATTTAATAAATTAATCTTGGTCCATAAGTTGATCAGTTTAACTTAAGTCCGTTAATAAATAATCCAATTAATTAATTCTATTAATGTCTCACAATTGTCAATTAATTCATAAAATCATTCTTCTATTTCTCGCCTTTTGTATGTGGCCCATTTGGCATTCAATTATGATGTCGAACGGCGTGAATTATTATTTTGATATAATCAAATCAGATAAATTAAATCTCTCCTTTTAATTTATCATTAATTATCCTAGATTATTAAATTCATAGTCACTGTCCTCAATGACATCTAGAATTGCATAATGGCAATATACGTGACAGAAAGTGTCACATAGTGTGACAAAATCAAACTTGTTTGCTTACCATGAAACTAAAATTCATTCATCAATATAACCCGATCAATTACGAAATATGGAAATGTATCAATCTCAAATAATCGATCTTATTTTACGTCCCGCTTTTAAGTTAGTAATCGGGGAAACTCTTTTCAACGTATAAACTTGGCTAAGGATTTCAATACCAGCTTGAACAGATAAAACGTAGACCATAATATTTTACTATTTAAGAGTAATAAATCTTCTATTGTTCATTCACAACCTCCATAATAATTTTTGACACACTCGAACAATTCTGTATTAGCTAGTTTTAGCATAGCAACATAAAAAATATTATGAGTTTTAATTTATCTGATTTTTAGCATAACAAAAGTATGATTGTCCTCATGTAAAATATTATGATAACCTTAAGTCGAATGATCAATTTTATTATCGAACGTTAAAGATTAATCACCGACACTTAGATAATTATTCATGTGGAATCTACGGGTCCCCAATGATTTATTCTCTTTACAAAAAATATACTCATCCATTTAAATATTACCAAATTTTTGCTTCTAAATCAACTACTCACTTCATAAGTAAAAAAATGTCAAATTTGCTGGACTATTTGTAATAACAATATTCATATCTCGTTATTATTTACGACCACATATAATTAAGATTCAATTATATGTAACTTGTTTTTCACAATCACAACTCGTTGTAATTAATAAGTTACTTGAATATATGAACTCTATTAATTTAATTTATTATTATAATAGATTTATCATAAATAAAAATGCATCAATCACATTAAAAGTATTTATATTCAAAATATATTGAAATTATGGTATAACACTTACAAGAATTATACGGATTGGAAAGATTAGCAAATTGTGGGGCCCGAGACCATATCAATTTGTTTGCAACTCAAGTTGAAAGTTTGCAAGCTTGTAGCCTAGCAAACTCACTTCTCTGCACTTCAAGAACTGAAGCTAAAAGTATGGATGAACATCATTCAGTTTGAAAAGTTTGTGACAAATTTTCAAACCAAATCATTAAAGGGTATGAAAAAATGAAACTACTTCTATTTCTAAACCAATCCAAATCACTTTTTCGAGTTTGATTCGATTTAAAATCATGGTTTAATAAAAAAAAATTATATTACACGTTAAAACATAAATAGTATCATTCAAAATATTACAAATCAAAGTTCTATAATTCTAATCATTGTAATGCAAGAACATGATAGAAACATTTTAACCTCTTATTCGATTATAATTGGTGCAACATCTACAATTGTAACACGTGATACATTTTTCCATAAAGATAAGAATATAATATATGAATTCATTGATTATAAGTAAACGATATAAAACAAGCAATAGAAGAGAATGAATAGAAAAATCAAATACTATAATACATTCTATAATTTTTGTGAATCATTTAATTCTATCTCATCCAAATATTGAAAAATCATTATAGGTTCCTTGTGACCATGCAACCAATTTTTAGGGTAAATCACCGCCTCAACTATATTAGCACTCAATGAACGCCTAAATCAAGACTTTGACTACTAGTAGGATTTACCGCCTCAACTATATTAGCACTCAATGAACGCCTAAATCAAGACTTTGACTACTAGTAGGGTATTTAGACTCAGAAACAATTGTGAATATTCTACTAGCAGGAATCTAGACTCAGAAACAATTGTGAATATTTGAATAGTTAACATATCTTTAACAATTTTGGGGTAATCTTGTATTTATTTGCATTCAATTTTCACGAAAGGAATATGTTGAAAAACTTAGTGGTCAAATCTTCAAAACAACCATTTAAATAATCCACCAAACCATTTTAGCAATTAATAGTAAAATTAAAATGTAAATAATTAATTGAGTGGCATGTTAATGAAATCGAGATGCAAATATATAAGTTAAAAAATGATGTTCACTAAAAACTTGAGATAGTCCTACACAAGTTAGAACAAAATAACACAACTACCGATATAATATAGCAAATAATTATCAGAAGATAAGAAAATTTTGACAAATTGACTTGAAAATTTAGCTAAAATTCGAGAAAATTATTAGTAGAAAGAAAATAAACGTTTGAATTTGAATTAAAATTTAGATTTAATTTGCCTATTCAATTGTAATAGGAGGTCGATGAGTATGACAGTTGATCAACACTTCATCGTTTGAGGAATTTACATTCACAGTTGTGATGAGTATTTGAGTATGATTTAATTAATTAATTTAGATGAACAACACTCTATTTGTGTTAAATTGTGTTAAGTCTTATATGGATATATCATTTTAATTGGGATGTACTTAATTTTAATTGGTTGGATAAATTTAAATTTATTTATTTTCATTTTTTCGTAAGAGTTTTGCAAAGATTGAAATTAAACCAAATCACTTTGAAGTGATTTAGTTCCGTTCAAAATTAAAACGTTGACGAATCCACGAGGAACCAAACCAACTTTTTCAAAACAGCGATGTCAGTTCAATTTCACAGGCTTACAATTTCGTTGTTCCTGGTAGAAAGTGAGTGAGAAAGTCAACCAAGAATGAAGAAGTGGATATCATTAAGAGAAAAATAAAATAAAATTGAGAGCTTGTCAAGTTGCCAAAATGGAAGAAGGCCATCAAATACATTGAAGACGATTCAATTCAAATGTACAAAGCACGATATTCTCAACAGCAAAGAATTGACTTTGCAAAGATGTATAGTTGCAAGAATGGACAAATACTACGAGATAACGAAATTGGGCCTAGCAAAACATTTTCTTGGGATGTAAAGTAATGGTTGAATATCTCTCTCAAGGAATTCAACATGAGTCGGTTCAAGCTAGTCGCTTTGAATGAAAAATTACAAGTTCATGACGACGCGAACGACATCGACGCTGTTCTCTACTATAGAATTGATTGGTTACTTGATTTATCTCAATACAAGACTAGACATCACATTTTTTGTGAACATACTTTCCATGTTCATGAATAAGCCAAACAAATTTCACTTTGTAGCAGAAAAAAGAATACGACGATCAACCAGCAAACATTCTGACAAAGCCAATGACAAGTTCGAGAATTTGAAGAAGCAAATGAAGATTACAAATTAAGGAAGGGTTAAAACTAATGTCCTATTAGTTATGAACCGAATATGAAGTCTTTAACTATTTAAAATTGAAATCTTAGTATCGGAAACTTGAAGGTATTCTTCGAAAATATACAAGTCTTAATATCGTAATTATTCGATGTTTCGCTAACTTTTCAATGTTTCTAACGTAATCCTTTATTGTTTATAAAAACGAGATGTGATGTTCTTATTAAATCATCATGATCACCATCACATCACTATTAAAGTGAGGAAATCAAATTGATATCAAAGAGTGCAATATAATAGCAACTCTTCCACTAATCAAATTTATGCATATAATCAATAGCTTTAGCTAGGGCCAATGTAAGTGAGTGAACTCAAAAGCTAAATGCTGTGACATTTTGATTGATCCAATCGATTAGATTCCACCAATTGTGTGACCCCAGAATTGGTCCCGAATATGGGCTTATCACCCGTGACCCCAGAAAGCTCTAACCTTGCTGTAATCACCTTTCTAGGATGCTAATGGCATCATATAAATCATCTTTTTTAAAGAACAATTTTGGTAAAGACACTGCCCACTTTCTACAAGTGCAGTATTTTATGCTTCAAAGCACTTGGGACAATTATTTCATCAACATCCAGATAACTTTGATCATATTAAAATACTACAAGTCATTATATCTAATCGAGGGTTTTTTTTTAAAATAAGTCGTAAATCGTTTTAAATCACATCGTTTAAAAGTTTAATATTTGTTAAATAAATTAAGGTTTACCAGTGTGCCGACAGTTGAAGGAGCTATCACCATGAAACATGGAAACTGATTTTTTTTTCTTCAAGAAAAATTGTGAGGATCATTTTTGTTGTGGCATTTGTGGGTGCTGATATGATAAACACCACAATCTCTTAAACCCGTTAAAGTCCAAGAATTAAACACTAACATACAGATATACTGTTGATGAACAGTAGAAGTGGGATCTTTTTCAATACCAATTTCTTATCTAACACAATTCCTTTGATCCCAATTGAACACAATAAAAAATACTCTCTCTCTCTCTCTCCAAAAACTGTTTGTGATCCACATTCAAGATTCAACTCTATCTGTTAATGTTTTCTTGCAGAATAGAGTGAAGTCATTGTCACCATTTCTCATAATTCTTTTTCGAGGCTCCTATCGATCTGTGGATAATTTAACTATATTACAATTTTTGTTATTGCTCAATAAATAATTATATACAAACAGAAAAGAAAATGAAACAAGAAAAAAGAAGGCTTAGTACTGAGTTCTAGAAACCCTAATTGATAATCTTAAGGAAAAAATAACAAGGGAAAAAATTACTCGGCATTAAGCTTCGTCTGGTGTCTCTGAAATTCTCTCTAAGTTAGGTCTCCACACGCCAACACGCCCTCTCCGTCGATCTCTCTGAGTTGAAAGCTTTTCAGATAAAATCTCACTTAAGTACTGATCAGAAACCAGTAGGTTTTTCATAGAAAGATCACTGTTTTTCGCAATATCTTCCTTTTCGGATTCTTTCTTTTTTCTCCTTGTAGATGATCTCGATGGAGTCTTATGGGATCGAGAAGGCAAAGGCATGAGAAAATAAATCTTTCCACGTTTTAGTATTGCATCAGGAGGAACCACAACAATCTTTGGACACATTCCTTCATCGGACGGCGATGAGGGCTTCTTCAAGACATGCTTTGGATGTAATTTCATGATTTCTTCTGCCTTTATAGTGCCACTGATTTCTTCGACATAGCCATTAGTATGTACTATTCGAATTACATCGAGGGCCCCACATGGAAGAATGCAAGATATGCAGCATCTAATGGTGTTTTTCATGGTCACTAATTCTGATCTCCTCTCTGAAAGAGAGACATAGACATAGAGAAGAAGAGGATGTAGAGGGGGAGAGAGGGGAAGGGAAGAAGAAGTGGAAAGAAGTGAAAATATAAGGCAGAAAGATAAAGAGAAGTTTCTTTCTTTTTTTCATTTTTCTTTTTTATTTTTAAAAATAATTTATCTGTCTCTTTATTTCTTTTCTGATGGATGATGGTTTTATTATATGCTTTTGGCCCTCCTATTTGTCCTCATTTTTCTATGCGGCATTCTCTTGTCACTTGCTTGGGATAAAATCCATATATGGCATGGATTAATAATTGCACCTCATTCTGTACTTTTGCCTTTTGGATCTATCATTCAACACTCCCTCCCTCCCTCGACCTTCCCTCCTTAGTACCCTTCCCCTTCGCTAATTTCAATAATTTGGGTTGGAGGAATATGGAGACACATGTTTGTCCATGGCTGGTATTGCTAGATCATCCAAATGGCTCAATCAAATTCTGACACTTGTCAATCTCTGATTGAATATGTTTTGTTGGAGTAGGTGAGAAGGCTATTAGTGTAGTGCCCTTGTTTGGTGTAGGGGAATGTGGGGTTCCTGGTATTAGATGAAAGGAGAGGAAAGAGGAGTGAAATTGGATTTTTTTTCAAGATAATCTTCTTTTGAGAGGAGTTTGATGATTTTTCAATAAGCCCGAGTAAGATCATGTGCATTGTGGGTAGTATATCATAATATTCATTTCCAATAATCAAGAAAGATTGCTTGAATTTCTTCACAATTAGATGGAAATTGGAATTTGGGACTTTCTTGATTGACAAATGTGCTATCTTTGTTCAGTTCAACCTAAGCCCACTTTGAGATAAAGAAATTCAAAAAACAAGATGACGACACAGAGAAAATGGATCCATCTAACACAGATACATAGATATTTATGTACTGATCTGATGTATATTACCCAATAATGATTTGATTCATGTTCTTCAAAATCTTGGGTGTAGAATTTCTGATTGAACAGAGGGGCCCAGGCATTTAACGGCTGAGATGCAGAGTTAGTGGGCAACATGTGAAGGATGAAGGGGAGAGGGGTCCTCTAGATAAACCTAATCACACAACAATCTAAGATTAACTCGTTAGATTATGAGTAATTAAGTTTAAAAGCAGAAGATTTTCTTGGACTAATATGTTCAGAAGAAAATGATAAGTGAGATGGGATCATGGCCTGTCTATTGATGGCTTCAATTATTGAAGAGATGAGAGAAGGGGATGCTTGAATATGCAGCTGTTGTTTTCTAGTATTGGCAATCATCACACAAAGGAAGTAAACAAAAAGAGAATTTTACTGACACTCTTTTATCATCACCCTGTAGACTTTTGAATTTGCAGATTCAAATTCCATCTGATATTGTTGCCTGCTCCTGCAGATTTCACTTAATGGAAGTAATCCCATCAACTCGACCTAACAATTTTTTGAGTTTGATGCGGTACGAAAACAGATAAAGTCTTAACTGAATTTCGTAAGAAGACTATAGTATCGCACTTCAAATCACCCATGAAGAGATTTCTTTGTCGTCTAATCTTTAGCTATATGTTCATATTAGATAACAGTTTGTTAGTGATAACACCTCTAGAAGGTTAAAGAACGAATTATACCATATAATGAAGAGTTACGAAGTATACAATAAATAATACACTGCTAAATAAAAAAATAGAACAAGTGAGTGGCTGGAAATTTTTGCTGAGCTTTATTCTTAACTTCTTCTTTTGTTTGAGTAATGCTATTTAGTGCCACTGGTGCTAAGTACCGGTCTAGATGACGTGCCAATGTCATTAATTGATAGATTACCTTAAAAGTAGGAAAATAAATTACATTTAACATATTCAATCACTACTTGCATGACAGCTATACTAGTGCTCTATCACTACTAGTTCTAGATAATATTATTCTTTTATTTAGTAGATGGTGAGATAGTGGACCACACATTATAAGAATATCTCGTATAGTGTCATTTAGTGATGCCTAGATTGAAATTATAATGTAAGTAGTGCTAAATAATATTACTCAAATTATATAATCACATTAACAATATTCAATAAATTAGATAAGAGAAAAAAAAAAAAAAAAAAACAAATATATCTAGAGATTCGAAGTACAGACTGAGGAATATATAAGCACCGTGAATGGCAGTCACACGGAAATACCTTTCTTTATTGAAACTGAAGCATTATCTAGTCACAAAATGGGTTTATTTATGTACAAATTCCCCATGCAACAACTCTCAATACTTCCATCACGGCGTTAACACAAATCAAAAGAACCAACCTAACCCAGCGTGCCTTCCCACTCATGGAGGCGCGCGAGAACTTCCTGGCAGTTAGGACGTTCATCTGGTTCTGCCCAGCAATCTGGAATAAGAACGAATCAAAAGCTAGTTCTAAAGCGGCACAACGCAATCAAGACGAATTATGAAGAAGTAAAAAATGAACCTGCAATTAACTTGCTCAGAGGACCTTCAGGAATTTCAAGCAACAGCATAAATCTATTTTAGTTTTTTTTTCTTTGGGTATAATCCTTTTTATTATTCTGAATAACAGTAGAGAGGTAGCATTATACTTACTCGAACAGATGGAACACCTTCCCATGGCCTTTTGAGCGTGCACAGCTCCCATATGATGACACCAAGGCTGAAAATATCACATTTCTCAGTGAAGGGTTCATTGCGAAGAAGTTCTGGTGCCATCCATTCCGGAGTTCCAGCAGAAGAAGAATCCTTCATTGGCACAGTAGTCAGTGCTCGTGAAAGCCCAAAATCACATATCTTCACTGTCCAATTCTTATTCAAGAGGCAGTTCGCACTTTTCAAATCACGATGTACTATTTTCATTCGATGTAAGCACATCAGTCCCCTTAATAAACAGAGATGAGTGGAGATTAAAACAGAAACGGAATGAAACAGAAAAACATATACCAGACTGATGATAAACCCCCCTCTCAACTGAGATTAATCATAGTACGTTCTTTTGACTTTGTTTCGCTCTTCAAGGGCCATTAAGTTCTCTTTCAAGGCACAAAAAAGTTAATTAGGAGGTTTGCCTCAAGGTGCATAATTAGTGAGATACAGTGAAACACCAAGCAAGAAATAGAGCCCAGCACTTACTGACAAAATAATTCTTTAAATAGTAAAATCAGTATCATCATCCAGTTAATTGAGTAACCAAATAAATATTCGTTTTCATTTGATAAAAAGTATGAACTGTGCAAATGTGAAATTTAACAAATTAATTACCGCGTAATTTGAAGTGAATTTTATCGGTTGAACACAGCACGTACCCCATCTGATTCGACATGACTGCCATGGCATCTTATCCAGATCACGAGATTAAAAGATTTTATTAACCAGTCTTGGATAATAGATTAATAAAATTCAAACTAAACCCTATACTCAACAAAAACCCTGTAACAGATTGTGTGCATTGGATTTGAGAATCTAATGATCATGCAACCACCTTACCATCATTTTTCCTTTTTCTTTTGCTACGAGCATAAGATAAATTAAATGCCCTGAATCCCTAAAACCAAGCACACAACTCAATGTGCAGTGGAGAACAGATAAGGAAGATGGTATCTGCGTGAACCTGCATATATCACAAAGCATTTTAACCCTCCTTTTCCAGCTAAGTTTCTTTTTCAGTCCACTTACATGGATCAGATAATACAGTGATCCCATCTCCATATATTCAGTAACCAGGGACAAGCGAGGAGGCTTTGTACAAGCACCAAGGAACAGAATAACTGCATAGAAAAATATCGAGCACTCTCTTAACATCTCCCAACTTTCAAGGAGAGAAAGGAAGTGAAATCCCAAAGGTAAAAAAGGCTACGTGATAAAATATATTACTATTTTCAGAAATGTTTGAAGAAAGACGTTACCATTAGGGTGGCGGATACGGCTGCAAAAGGAAAAAGAAATGTCAGTATCAAATAAATGCTAGTTTCCCCTTTCACCTTTTGTTGGGGGATGTAGAGATGTTTGTCCATGGAAATAGTTTTATTCAAAAATCTATAACATCAGCACACCAATTATAAAATACCTTAAGATAGATATTTCGTTGAAAAAATCTTCAACATTCTCAACAGTCAGTTCTTGTTCCAGAAACACTTTGATCCCCACTTCTAATCCATTCCAAGTGCCACAGAAAACTTCCCCAAAGAATCCTAGAATACAAAAGAAAAAAATGGAAACTGAATTTAAAAAATGAAAACTATTAAAGAGGTGAATAGCATTAAAGAAAGATAAAATTCAATGTCAAATAGCATGTTCATTTTAAGACCATAAAGTGTTCAATGTGTTTATGTAAATGCATTTAGAGGATTGCTTTGTCTTAGAGATAACGTTACAGGATCAAGATAGTGGCTTATTTGAGAAATATCACAGCCAAGGAAAGAACGACATTCTTGTTCTTTCCAATCATAACTATGACTTTCTGGTTGCAAGAAAGTTAAAACATGAAAACGAGCTTAATTAACATAACATTCTTTAACCAAAATGATATTAGGACATCATAAATCTTAGGTTATGCTGTGAAGATTATATTTTTAAATGCGAAATATATATCTCATCCAATTTGTTGTTCTCTTTTTGAACTATATGTGTTGTGTTTGAACTAACACAAGCACTAAACAGATGATACGTGTCCTTTTGACTGCACATAGATATAAAAGATCATTTGATCAGCTAAAGAACTAAAAAAATTATAATTTCTATCCCTTTATTAATAAATATTCTGTCTCCCAATAGAATCAGATTTGACATAATGTGTGCGCGAAGATGCAAGTGCATGTGTATCAGGGAGGGGATGGAGTGAGGGTCAGCATATTCAGGCAAATAACAGTAGAACAAAGTGGGAATATAAAAAGCATTTAAATGTACAGCGTTTTTTGAAAATGGGGAAAAATGGATAATAGTGGCTTCAATTGATAGAAACCCCTATCATGGCACTCTTGCACTAAAATTATTTGACTATATTAATCTCCGACTACAGAAACAATTTAGAAATGAATGTTCACAGCAAGTTTTGCTTTGCTAATCAGAAACTAATATAAATAACATACCGATTCCAACACGGGCTCCAATGGTAATTTCAGAGAAATCAATGTTCCATTCTTGAAAGGGTAACAATGGCTTCTTCAGAATCTTTGATGTTCCAAGCACTTTATTGAATATTGACATCATATCAGGACTGGCAGATATTGTGCTTGCCTTATCCCTAAGAGAAGCTTGATTGCCAAAACATTGAGGAGGTGATGGAAGTGATATTGCCTTTTGCTTCCCATGAACACTATATTTCATATGGTTTTCAGGATTGAACCTTGATAGCTGGAAAGTGAAGCATATGACATTAAACATTAAACTCCAGCTAAATTCCAGGACAAGACTAGACATATCTGGTCATTCAGGAAACTATTAGAAATCTGAATTAATGGGTATGTGTTAATATTTAATTCACACGGATCAAGATTAAGATCTGTTGTAAATATTCTGAAACAAGAAAATTTGTTTCAGCAATAATAGTTACAAGTCGAACACAAAAAATGCATTAAGTGCATAAAACATTCATCGGAAATTATTTTAGGATAAAACAACATAATTTGACCACTGATATTAACACCAAACAAAATTATGAAAGCTTGGAATTATTTAAGTGAACTTGAACAAACTGTCTGGATTCTAATAAGGTGAATGCTCTCAATTGCCATACGAAAAAATGAGTAGATCAGATTCTAGCACATCATACAAAGGGAAACTTTTTGATTTGTATAGTAAACGGCCAAGAGATTGCCCGATGTAAGAAACTTCTAAGTAAAACTTGACAAGATAAAACATGAGAGATCGAATGCAAAACAAGACATCAATTTGTGACCCAAAAGATAAACAAACAATGTAGCACTTAAGAGTTATATGCAGGATTTCTAAGTCATTCTTTTAAGAAAGAAGCAGAGAAAAGAACATACACTTTCTTGTAGATCTGAGCTATCATCTGTTTCACTTGTAGATCTCTGTGTAAAATTTACTTGTTCCTTGGGAGGACGATTTCTCCTTGGAGTTTGATTCATCGTTCGAAAGGCCCTTGATTCAAGCTCACCGTCAATGTTATGTGAACCAAAAAAGCAGGTAGAGCTACCAAACGCATTTATAATCAGACTTTATTGTAACCAGGTCATGAGGAAAACAAGTGGTGCGAGCTACATCAGCATGTAATCCACGTCTAGAAGTGATGGGACCCTCACTCAAAAGGGAGGAACTTAGGTGTTTACAACCACATCTTAACACAGTATAATGAAACAAGGCATGAAATAGGAGCGTAAACAGATGAAAATTCCATACCATGGATGGTACCAATTGGTTTATTGTCCATTGTTGAGGATTTTAAAAAAAAAAAAAAAAATCATCTTTTCTGTAACATTTAGAGATATTATGTGAGGTAGTCATTTAATAGGGTATTAGAGTTTAGCAAGGCTGTTAAGGAACATTTTTGGTAAAATCCCTAATAATATATTTTTTTTTGAAATGCAATCAAATATTTTATTAATCAATGGAAAATACACAAAAAGTGTATTATCAATTTACACCAAAAAGGAACAACATAAAATTGGACAGCCCCTCTATATGCCTAGTAGTTGTAGCATTAAACAAAGTATACATGCCAAATAAGACATTTCCCTAATATGCTCTGTTGCTCGTCTTTTATCATCAAAACAATAGTTGTTTCTTTCTCTCCACATACACCATACGATGCAATTCGGAATAAGGCCCCATACAAGCTTGCAATCCTTGTCGCAAAACTTTCTCCTCCATGCCTTTAACACGACTTTCATATGCCTCGACAACACCCAATCCATATGCTGAGACGCCAGCATATCGTTGCACGACAAACGAGCAGCATCACAATTAAAGAACAAGTAGTCAATCGTCTCCACATCCTTCCTACACATATAGCAACACTCTGTAACATAAAAACCTCTTATTTGAAGATAATCAGTAGTTAACACCTGTCCCCTAACAACCACCATAGTAAAAATGTCATCCTTGGAGGCAATTTACATTTCATACCATCTCCCAAGGAAATAACTCTCCACTGGTCCCAATAAGGATCTAAAATACGTGCCGACTAAGAAGATACAATCCCATATCAACCTCCACCGGCTACAATCACCCTCTCCTACCCTAATGTATACCTCATACAAAGATGTTAATAACAAAGCATAATCATCCATTTCCTAGTCCTACAAACCACGCTAAAAGACAATGTTCCAATTAAAACTTCCATCTAAGACCTCATTCACCGTAATACACGGCTCCAAAGCAATACGATACAAAGGGGGAAATCCCTCCCTAAGCAACTACTCTCCACACTAGCAATCATCCCAAAACTAATAATATTACCATTCCCCACCACAAAAGTCAATCTATCCCGAAAAGCGTTCCACCATCGTCGGATATACCACCACAAACTCACCCTATAAGAGCTACGGCCATCGACTTAGCACCATCCCCCGCCATAACACCATATCTTGCCCCAATAATTCTCTCCAAAAACTCTCCCTCTCCACTCCGAATAACCACAACCACTTACCCAAATAAGGCCTTATTAAACTCTCCAAAATCCCTTATAATTATTCATCATTGATTACTATTTCCCTTATTAGTGCCAAATTTGAACGTCGCTCATGTTTATGCCACTGCATCTCTTCACTTGTGACAGAAGGTTGCATGTACAGGATGTATTGGAGCTTGATAGTGTTGGAGATTGCCCAACATCGACTAAATAACGGACACCGATACACATTTTATTTCATTACATGGCAGTTACAAGAAAATCAAAAACTAAATCTCAAATGAAATGAGGATGAACTAATGGTGAGATCCAATTTTATTTCCATTTTCGAATGAGTATCTTCAAGCTTTAACTTCGCCATAGAAATAAAAACTTATAAAAAGCATTATAAGTTCTAATAGAGTCAACCACCTTACAGTATCATCACCAATCTCTGGTATCATGATAATACAACTTCGTCTTCTCCTACAAGCATCTATCGGATATACAACAACAGACCTGTAATTGGTTAATGAAATGAAAGTTAATAACACCACTAGAAAGCAGATTTTCTTACCGCTTTCGACAAACAAAAAAGAGAAATGAAGAAAAAGTAGGTAGGAAATTTTTTATTTTTTATTTTTTGAAAGTTAATCAAATATTTTATTAATCAATGGGAAATACACTAGAAGTATATTATCAATTTAAACTAGAAAGGAACAATATGAAATTGGACAGCCTATCTATATGTCTAGTAGGCCGCAGTATCAATCCAAGAATACAATGTCAAATAAAATAATTCTCTAATCTGCTTTGTTGTCCGCGTTTGACCGTCAAAACAACGGCTATTTCTTTCTTTCCACACACACACTATACGATGCAACCCATCATAAAAGTGGGAGATTATTTGTCGAAAGAAAATATATTAGTAAAATGAACCATACAGTGAAAAGAGAACCCATCATAAGCTTTAATAATACAACAGATGACAGAACAAAAGAAATAAATGATAAAACTTTCCTTGTCAATTAATCAAAAAGAATATCAAGACTGAGATGGGTTGTTGTATAGAAAAATCAAATCATTTAGAAAATAAAAAATATATGACGAAAAATATGATGGATGTCATTGCCAATACTGATAGGGGATGTCATGTAAAACACATAATTCCACATTAATCTCTCATAGAAATGCATTTCTCGTTTGCTGGGATAAAAGATTTACTAAATCGTCAATGAAAGTTAAATGGGAACAATTAACAAAATCCAGCTAATTTGGAATTTAAGGTGGAAATAAGATAGAATTCCCATGCTAAAAAACACTTCATACAATTGCATGAAATTAGACAAGTTTGCTGAAGAAGATTACTAGTTACACTAAACGCAACAACATTTTAAATCTTTTCGTCCAATCAAGTGGATGGCATGGCTTATGTTGTGTTCTCCAAAAGAAACTAGACTACCACTTATTTCTCCCACTTCTCTTGTAGTCATTGAGATATGTTTTTACATCTTGACAATGTGGCTCTTCCCTCTTGGATTAAGCTCCCATAGATTACAAATATCAGAGTGGTGAGAATTTTAGTAGAGATAGTATTAATTCACTTTTCAAGTTAGACGCTTATTTTAGGAAACATGATTAGTTGTCTGTCTTGTACCACTAGCTAGGATCAAATTCTCACATGCCTTCAATAGATTTTATAGTATTTTTTTCTTCAATTACCCTATATAAAGGGGCTTATGCATTGTAATACATTCAAATTTTGATATGAAACAAATTTGATATTCTTCCCTAAATTCTCTCTCTATCCCTCTTCTTCTGTTACTCCTCTCTCTTTTCAATCTTCATCTTATTCAATTGTGTTCCTTGCATTCAACGTCAATTTGTTTTCAATACAGCAAAATTGTTTCCATACATCCTATTTGACTATTATCACACTTAAATGAAGGTTTTGTTTTCAATATAACAGAATTATTTCTTTATCGAAGCACATTTGAGCCACCGTTGTTGCAATCATTTGTTTCTACACGCCAATCTCTTGTGATAGTGCATCGTGCTCGTGTGGATTCCACGATAGGATTTTGAATGAGTTACACACATCATTGCTTCTTAAAGTTCGTTGCCACTACTTCATTAAAAGGAAATATCGTCTCCCATTGGGTAGATCAGATGCTTGGAAATGATTTTCAGATTCGATGTGGTTAGTATCATTATTTAGTCGGGAAGAAAGATCATCCTCACTGTCTAAGAAATTTTAATATATCTCATCGGGGTCGAATTATCAGACAAGAAGAAATGATGGATATCCTATTAGATTATTATATGATCACTTTCCATGTTTAGATTCTTATTTTGAAAGAAGATATTAGGTTTTATTTACTAGATTTCCTAGGATTTTATTACGTTTATTTACTGGATTTTCTAGGATTTGATTAGATGTTTCCTACTCAGAATATATTTTATAAAGCTCTGTATAAATAGGGTTATAAATAGGGTTTATGCATTATAATACATACAATGTTGATATGAAATGAATTGATATTCTCGCCCTGAATTCTTTTTGTTCTTTCCCTCTTCTTCACTCTCTCTCCCTCTTCCTCTTCTTCTCTTTCTCCTCTCTGTTCCTCTTCCTTTTTGAATCTCATTCTTGTTCAGTCATGTTCCTTGCATCCTACATCAGAGTTTCACAGATGTATAGGAAATTTTAGACCAATCCAATTGTTTTCCACATTATGACCATTACAAGTCTCACATCAGCACTTTTTATCAGAAATATGATTACCAGTTATCGAGCATGTAAAGAAATTAATAATAAGAAAAAGTTATCATGTAAATATAAATAAAACCTTGAACTGGCTGTCCTTTGTTTAACAATGACTTTCTTCCGGCTGCGCCGTGAAAACGAATTTTCTACATCAGGTTATCAGTGCCAGTGCGGTAAACTGTAAGAACAAGTTGTATTAGTTGGACTACAAAACAAGAATATTTAATCTTTTGCAAAAGTCAAAAGCCTACACCATTATAAAGAGTAAAATCAACCATTTAAAACATGGTTCCACTTCAATTCAAATATCACTTCAATTCAGGGTTTAACACTGCAACAGTATTGTCCTCAAAGATGAACTGCAAGTATTCATAACTGTTTCAACCTTATAATGATATGCGGTCTGAAGAATGATTGTACTACATTCTGCGGAGGGTAGAGAAAAGAAAAAGAAACAAATCTTAAACCTAATGTGATTAGTATTGAAGCCACAAAATTGTTGTTACCAAAGCCTCAAATTTTACAGATCTAAAATACAGGTTCTTACCGTTGAACATCTGCTTGATCTGAAAAGATAATCAGTAGGCGAATCATATGAGTTATTATCTGCAGAATCACTCTCACCAGTAGAGATGAGTAAGAAAAAGTGCCTCTCCAGAGCTTAGTGTCAGCTTGCCCGGAAAATGCATAAGATCACCTAGGAGTTCTACAGAATTCAAAACAACTATGGCAGACATTTGCTTAAATGAATCTGCTCGTTCCATTACTCCTCCTCTAGGTAAACCCTGAGAACAGGGAAAGAAAAAGGGAAAGATTTGGGCAATAGCTGAAATATACTGGGAATCCACATTAATTTTAAGTCCACTCTTTGGAAGCCAAGCTGTTGAGAAGCACAGTGATAGGCTCCAATCCACCTCACTTATTCTTGAAAGATCCAGAAGCAGAATATCCTACAAGTGGGTGGGGAGAGAAAACTGAATTCTGTTAGAAGAGATCTATAAATGAAGGTAGAAGCTAGCAATAGAGGGGAGGATATTGAGTGAGTAGAAGAGAGAACTTTTGGAGACTTTAGTCCTCTCGAATGGCTATTGTTTCCATTCTGTTTCTGTAATTTCTCTTAGTTTTCTTCAATCATTTTTTCTGTGAGAGGCGAAAACCTTCCCCCCCATGGAGCTCCCCTCACAATCCAAAATAACCCAACCACCACACCTCCACACTACCGGCGCTAGCGACCAACTGTCCGGTAGGCACCACATAACCGGCCTCACGCCACAAATCAGCCCCTCCAACCATGTCATTCACACACAGGTGTAGTTTACTGCGGGAAACCCTAGCGCCGCCCAGCCGTTTCCGCTAGATCCGGCCACATTTCGAGGAAACGCGCCTCACCGGTGGCCTCAGTAGGGACCGGCGACCCCTGCCGGTATTCTGTACCTTACACGCGCCGCTCCGGCCGCGCGTTTGCCGGCGCTTGTAGTCCACGCGCCGCCGCCGGAAAACCTGCGGCGGCAGCCTGCTGCTCCGAGATCAATCGGCTTGTCCGTTCCTCCATTTGATGAATTGCTAGTACACAATCAGGGGGAAAAATTGGCGGATGTGCGTAGTATGGTATTCAATCATCGTTTCAGAGTGGAGGCGAAGGACTTCGCAGTATCTATTAATGATTCTGGCACTGTTAAGTTAACAGAATGGGTTCGAAGTTATAGGATTCAATCTTTATGGGAAGGTATGGTGCTATTTGGATGGTGAATATGGTAAACAGATTGAGGATGAGAAGTGAATTTGAGGAATGTGTTTTTAAATTCAACGAGTCTTCAAGAGCTTTTTTAGCACAACGGTGTGTGAACCGTCGAGGCAGATATTTGATGATAGCACAATATGGGGAGAGGCGTCGGAAAGGAGTTGTCACGATACTAGAAGGTGCAAATGGAGAGGGATGGGCGTCGGTCTTGCAGGTGTTTCAAGCAGTTGTTGACTCATTTGTTGCTAGGGATAAGGCCAAACGACAAACGGTGAATGAACGAAACAGACAAAGGATGACTTATGCAGAAATTATAGCAAACTCACAGACCTCGGAGAATGCCAACCAACGGATGCTACAGCAAAAGGAAAGGACAAATAAAATCGGTGATAACGAAGGTCGCGTCATTTGTTTGAGTAGGGCTGAAATAATGACCCGTGCGCAGGAGTTGAAAGGAGCATTGGATGAATTACTTAGACTGGTTGGAAGCGGGCCTGAGATGGAGCCCATGAAATTGGTACGCTGTCACAAGTGTGGGGTTGAGTTGGATGAGGATTAAACCGGTGAAATATACGTACCGGGATTGACTCATGAGGAACTACCATCAATTACAGAACATGCAAAGCAGGGAGGAGATGAACATTGTGAATCTCAGAAGAGGATGGAAGCGGGATACCATGAAAACGATGACGGGGTTGACTTTGTGGGGGTCAACCGAACTGAAGTAGACACGGGGATTGCAATTGAACAAGAAGAGGAACCGCTGTCTAAGGAAGGGGAGTTTAATATGGTGAACTTGGAGAAATTGACAATGGACACTGTGAAAGAAAACAACTCTACACAGACGACATCAAAGGTTACGAACGCTTATAATAGGAGGACAAAAGATAATGATATGGGGACCGAAAAAACTTTGGTGTTATGGGTAGGTGGTGCCAAGAAAGGAGAAAGTGACAGTGACATTATACCAGTGGTGGAAGAGAAAGAACGGTCCTTTGATCATCTCGAGGGCTATCAGGGTAAGGATACTTCAGGAGCTGATGTGTTAGAAGTTGGTCACCCACCTTCAAACTGGGTTCTATAAAAAATTCAGGAATTCAGTTAGTTGGTTGGCGTGTCATGTGATGTGTATGAAAGTAGATTGTTACAATTATTCGAGGAGCTGGAGGTTAATAGGGGACAAGATATCAGTACACATGAAAGTAAATTAAGAAGAAATGGTGATCGTGAACTTAAGAGACTCAAATGGTCAGTAAACTATGCTGGTAAGGGTGGCGAGTCCAAGAAAGGAACAATGGGGAGGGGTTATGGAGTGTTACAATGATGCCAAAACTCATTAGCTGGAACGTAAGGGGTCTCAATGAGGTTAGTAAAAGGCTTGGTGTTCGTCATTTGCTAAGGGGATGGGGGGCAAATCTTGTTTGCCTACAAGAAACTAAGATGGAGTTTATCTCGAGGGCGGTGATTCGTAGTTTATGGGGGCGGGGGCGGCGGCGGGGGGAGATCATGTAGGATATCAGTTTTTGGGGTCATCAGGGGTTTCAGGAGGCGTGTTGGTGATGTGGGACACTAGAGTGCTTGAGATGAAGGAGGTGAGTATAGGGGCGTTCTCCATATCGATTTCTTTCAAAAATTGTGAGGATGGATTTCGGTGGATGTTCACAGGTGTTTATGGGTCTAATTCTGATGACAATAGAGTGGGTTTGTGGGATGAACTGGCTGGAATGAGAGCTTGGTGAAATCTCCCTACATGTATTGGGGGTGATTTCAATGTGATTCGATTTCCTTCGGAGAGGTCGAGTGGTGGGAGACTAACTAGGGCAATGAAGGAGTTCTCAGATTTTATTAGGGAGAATTTGTTGGTGGATTTATCCATGATTGGGGGAGATTTTACCTGATCATCCAATCGGGATCGACCTGTTTTGTCTCGTATTGATAGGTTCTTGATTTGTGGGGAGTGGGAGTCTAAATATTCAGATGTCACTCAGAGAAGATTGGAGAGGGTATACTTGGATCATTTTCCTATTATGTTATCGGGGAATAGAAGGGGTGGTAGAAGAAGACCTTTCAGGTTTGAGAAGATGTGGTTGAAAGTAGAAGGTTTTAGGGAGCGAGTACAGACGTGGTGGACTTCCTATGAAGTTAGTGGGTCTCTCTGTTTTGTATTGGATCAGAAGCTAAAGGCGTTGAAAGGGGACTTAAAGAAATGGAATGAGGAAGTTGTGGGCAATGTTAACTGCAGTAAAAATCAGTGTCTGTCAGAGATAGAGTTGGATAGGCGGGAAGAGAGTCAGGGGTTGACTGCGGAGGAGAAGGAGAGACATAAAGTATTAAAGGAAGAGATGGAGAGGTTGGTGGAGATGGAGATTAATTGGCGACAGAAATCTAGATTTATTTGGTTGAAAGAGGGGGATAAATGCACTAAATTCTTCCACAGGGTCGCCAATTCTAATAGGAGGAACAACTCCATCACAGTTTTGGAGGTGGACGGGGTTACTTATGAGGAACCACAGGAAATTGGAAGCCAACTGGTGAATTTTTATCAGAACCTCTATCGGGAGCAATTTGAATGGAGGCCAGAATTGGAGGGATTGCATTTTTCTACAATCACTGAGGATGATGCCCGATGGATGGAGAGACCATTTGGGGAGGATGAAATTAAGGAGGTTGTTTTCAGCATGAACGATGATAAGGCTCCGGGACCGGACGGTTTCTCGTTCTGATTCTACAAAGCGTGCTGGGATGTGGTTCGACCGGACATTGTGAATACTTTATCTTTTTTTTTTTGAACGTGGCAGATTCCAGAGAAGTTCTAACGCCACATTTATTGTGCTCATCCTTAAGAAACCGGGAGCGATTGATATTAAGGACTTTCGCCCCATTAGCCTTGTCAGCAGAGTGTATAAGATTATTTCGAAAGTCCTGGCAAACAGATTAAAGGAGGTGCTGGGAAAAGTAGTGTCCAAGTTTCAGAATACATTTGTAAAAGGGCGTCAGATTTTGGACTCTGTGCTTATAGCGAATGAATGCATAGATTCAAGAATGCGCCTAAGGGCCCCAGGGATGCTTTGTAAGCTAGATATTTAGAAGGCTTACGATCATGTGAATTGGGGATTCTTCTTGTATATGCTCAGGCGCTGTGGCTTTGGGGATAAATGGTGTAAATGGATTCAATTCTGTATTTCTACTGTTTCATTCTTAGTTTTGATCAACGGAACACCTGATGGTTATTTCCGGAGCAGTAGAGGCTTGAGACAAGGGGATCCATTGTCCCCATTGTTATTTGTCATTGTGATGGAACACTCTCAGTAGGATGATTGAAAGAGCCGTGAGAGCGGGTTTGATAAGGGGTTTTATGGTTGACCAATTGTAGGCGTCTCATCTGTTATTTGCAGATGACACGTTGATCTTATGCGATGCAGATATTGAACAATTCAGGAACTTGCGCCGTCTGCTCTTTTGTTTTGAAGCGGTGTCTGGTTTGAAAATCAATTTGGGGAAGTCTGAGACTATTCTAGTTGGGGAGGTCAATAATGTCGAGGAGCTAGCTGATATATTAGGTTGTACAGTTGCGCAGTTGCCGATGTCATATCTAGGACTCCCGTTAGGGGCACGATTTAAAAGTACCCATATCTGGAATGATATTGTGGAAAGGATGGAGAGAAGGTTAGCAGGGTGGAAGCATATGTACCTTTCTAAGGGAGGTAGATTTACTCTCATTAAATCCACTTTCTCCAATCTCCCTACTTATTTTTTGTCATTGTTCCCCATTCCGATTGTAGTGACAAAGAGATTAGAGAGGCTTCAAAGAGAATTTTTGTGGGCAGGGTTGGGAGGGGAGAGGAGAGGAGACTCCATTTGGTCAATTGGGGAGTTGTTTGTTTGCCAATGAGGATGAGGGGTCTTGGGGTGAGGAGCCTTATGTTGTTCAATAAAGCCTTATTAGGCAAGTGGTTGTGGCGATTTGGAGTGGAGAGGGAAAGCTTCTGGAGAGAAATAATTGGGGCGAAATATGGTGTGACGGAGGGAGGATGGTGTACATTTGAGGATCGTGGTTCTTATGGGTGAGCTTGTGGATGTATATCCGACGGGAATGGAGTGCTTTTTTGGACAAACTGAAGTTTGTGGTTGGAAATGGTAATGAGATTAAGTTTTGGGATGATTGTTGGTGCGGAGATCAACCGCTGAAGGAGAGATTCCCTTCTTTGCATCGCATTGCCTCAGTGTCCACTGCTATGGTGAGTGATCTCTTAGACATTAATAATGGGAGCTATAGCTGGAATATTACTTTTAGGAGGGATCTTCAGGATTGGGAATTGAAAGATTATTCGCTGTTTATGACCATTTTACATGAGGCCTAAATTTGGATTGGAGAGAGGGATTGCATCAGGTGGAGGACAGCACAAGATGGCATTTTTTCAGTTCGCTCGTATTTTGGTTCCCTCATGGGATGTGTGAATAATTCATTCCCCTGGAATTTAGTGTGATAGTGTAAATTGCCTCCTCGGGTGGCATTCCTATTGTGGACAGTTGTGAGGGGACAGGTCTCAACGGTGGATAATCTTTGTCGTAAAGGCTTTTACGCAACCGAGTGGTGTTATATGTGCAAGAAGGATGGGGAGACGATCGATCATTTGTTCATTCATTGTGATGGTGTATGTTGGATTTGGAACAGTATACTCAGTTCACAATCTATGGATTAGGTGATGCCTCATCGTATAGAGGACGTGATACAGGCATGGCGTAGAAAACTTCGGAATAAGGATAGCAAACTAGCATGACACCTTATCCCGGGCTGCATTGTATGGTACGTGTGGAGAGAAAGGAACAACCGTTACTTCGAAGACCAAACAAAGACAAGAGAGCAGATAAGATAAACATTTTACTTTACCTTGTATTCTTGGTTTAATGCTGTGGCTAGAAATTCTGTAGATGGGTTGCCTAATTTCATGTTGTTCCTTAATGGCTTAAAGTGATTGTACACCCCCCGTATATTCTCTTTTAAGTAATAAAATTATTTGATTACCTATCAAAAAAAAAAGTTTTCTTCAATCAATAACAGCAACATATTTTCTGTTAGCAAACTGCAACTGGAACATCATCACATAGCACAAGGAAAAAGAAATTTATATGCAACTCCAATGAAGATAAAATACTTACCACCATGAGCCTACCATCAAGACCAAAAGTATCAGCAAAAACTTTGAACAAAATTGCCCGAGAACAACATGAACCATTGTTTAATTTGACCTAGCACATCGATACCATGATGTCAGAGGCAAGTAATCACAAACCTGTATATAGTGGCAATTAGTCAAATGCAAAAAACCATAATTTCATGACAGCACAAAGAATTAATTATAGCTTAATAGTGCAGTAAGACACCCTTCAGTGTTACATAACTTGCTAAGCATTTTGAAACTACACATTTCTTTCAGCTTCTAATTGAGCAATTCCAAATAAATCAGCCATGTTCCAGATTACTACATGTCAACTAGGCTATTACAATACAAAATAATTTGTATGATTTAGTACAACAACAGTGACGAATCCAATTAAACATTTGCGAAGCAAGATAAAAATGAGATAAACTAATCCTCAACTGCACTATGATAACTCAGATAAAGAAACAACTACTGAAGTGAAAGAGTAAGAACCCAGTATAAAATATTAAAGTAAAAAAGCAGAACATAAAACAACACGAGTGCCAAATATTTTTCTTTGTTTTCCTTTCCTTTGGAAAATTAAGGAAGAAGACAACATAACAACAATTCTATACCTTTCCAAAATAATAAATAAAAAAATTGAGCATCAATTCATTTTGGCCATTAAAACTTTCAATTATTTTTCCCCTCATCCAAGAGAAAAATGTAGAAAGGGAAGCATCCAGTGATGGCACACTTGAATGCCACCCTGCACTCAAGAGATAGTCTTATTTCATGAGTACATGGTCTTTGACACTGGGGACAAGCTTCTTAAAACTCATCATTTTACTACTCTTCTGATATATGATCTCAATCCAACATCAAATACCCTTCTCTTCAAAGAAACAATCAGTCAAACCGGCTTCAGTTCACCACTACTTTGTGCTAGGTGATCGTGTCAGGATCATCAATTTTGACTACAAGGGATCCAAAACATTCAGTGAATCATTTAACTGATGCAAATCACAGCTTTGAAGGAATTATATTATCCCCAAGGTAAGCCCATTTTGCCTTTTATGATTCAAATCATGGACATAAACCCAATGATCTTCCTTCTGTAATGCATAAAAATGACAATCTGTAGCACCTTTAATATTTTGATCAGTTCGGCATATCTTGAATCATTAAAACTTCAGTCACTAGTAATCCATGCAATAATTCTTTGCCAGTAATCTGGTAATAATTATATTTCACATAAATAACTGGTATATTAGATTCAATACCAAAGAGAAAAGCTAGGAACAATAAGCTTAAGAGAGGAAGAGACAAAGTACCCACATCTTTAGAAAAATAACTCAAAAAATAAAGAGAGAGAAAATCATGCACCAAAATGAAAGAATAAACTAACAAAGGTACCAGGAGACTGCACCAATCCAGCTATTTTCTTGATCAAGGCAGTAGGACTTGAACTCAATCCCTTCACCAAAGTGGCTGCCACCTGCTTTAAAATGGAGAGCTTCTTATCTTCACATGCATTGGCAACAAGCACATTGAGCATAAACCCCTCCCCAAAAATGTAAAGCTCGTCTGAAGAGGGAATAGAGTCAAAGGGCTCCTTGAATCTTCTTTCCTACAGCACATGGAATATCATACAGCAACTAAAACTGCTATGAGCGAAACTTTGAAGACCATATTTTCATGCAACGAGAATTTAATGGATCAACTGTGGGTAGAATAAAATGCACGACCCAGAAGAGACAGAACTTAAGTCATTGACAGTAAATATCAAGCAATAAAATTGCATCATCCCAAATGACCCTCAAAAAATATTAAAAGAAAGGAAGGAAGTCTCCAGAAGCTAATATGAAAAAAAATAGATAAGTGACATTCCTTTACGATAATTGAACCCTTTGAGTACCAACACTCTGAGCTGAGAAAGCATCGAGTGATCATTCAAAGCCACTCATGGTAAAATAACCTGGAGCACAACATTAATATGAAATATCTCATTTCAAGCCTGATAGTAAATTATCCAATATGTTGCCATCCTAACAACCATAATCTCTCCACATCCGAAATAAAAAGTGTAGATTTACACCTACAGTTAAAATTTTTAACAATAGATGTAGTTTTAGGAGAACGCTTATATATATAAATACTTTAGATATGTAGCAATCAACAAAACTAGCTACTTTGACACTAATTTTAGAACTATATTGCTGAAACTAACATTTTCAATATATTTTAATTATGGGCACTGGGCTGTACTTTTGTAAGTTGTAGTTTGAACGCCAAAATTAGCATAACTGAGAAACTAATAATTTCAAACCACTGATTTTATCAACTGACTTATTCAAATTTAAACTATATGCTTTCTAAGACTCTTCAAATTTATTTCAACCTGATATCAAGAAGACTCCAAGGTGTCAATAAATAAATAAATAAATAAATAAAAGGCAATTTCAGAAGGTGAAAGTGTACTTGAGCAAACTCTGACTATAATAATGCATTTATTTATTGTCTTCATGGATTCCAACATGATCTTCACAAATATACAAGTTTCCATCCTGTAGTCAATATGCTTCCATTTGTCACTAAAGAAAATGGTTGGGAATGAGAGAACCTACATATTATGAAAATCTTCTCACAACAAACAATTTTGTTTCCCAGGTTCATGCGTAACATCTGAAATTTAGAGAGAGATATTTCTACGCCAAGTACATATCTCAAAGTTCAAATGATTGAAAACCTTTTTTTCTATAAATTATTTTCCTTCCCAATGTTATTCAAAAACAGAAGTACTTGACAAAAAGGTAATCACTTATAATTTCCTTGTAGTGTATATCTGATATTTCTCCCAAAACCTTGATTACAGCCTACAAAAATACCAATTAAGTGATTATTAATCTAATTATTTCCATTAATTATGCACCCAATACATGTTTCCATAAGCAAAGCAACAGAGGAGGATGACTCCTCAATAGTTATCACTATCAAACACCCTCTTCTAAAATACTTCATCGTCTAATGGTGGTCACCACTTGCCAGTTCTCAACCTATTGCCAACTCTTCCACTAAGAATTGCGACTTCTTCTCCAACTATTTATTAAATTACTCATAGGTTCTGGAACTACTCGCTACTACTACATACAACGCACAAAAAAAATAAAAATAAAAATAAATTAGTAGTAGTTTGAATCCAATTATTGAATCAATCTTTCAGTATTTAATTCCTAAAGTATAAACGTATACAAAAGTAACCACTAGCAATCACTAGACCAAGAAATTAACACAAGAAAAATCTGCTCGGCAATGGATTCAGACATTACTGCCATAACAAGTAACAATGAAATGCTAACAGATATAACACATTGTTGATAAATAAGTGCAAAATAGCTAATTAAAGGGAATCATAACCTAAAAATTCAACATCGTTAGCAATAGCAAATTATTGAACCGATCTACATGAGAACACAACGTGCGCGTATGCATATGCATAGGCACGGAAGAGTACCAGAATATCCGATGAGGCATTTTTTGAATGGCTCTTCGAGTTCGAACCATTGAACCTGAATCCGAGTTTTATCAATTTCAATGCAAAGAAGTGATTCTAGTTGTATATGTTGAGTGAGTGATAAACGGATTGGATTTGACAGAGAAAGCTACTGTGGAAGCTACGAGCCCCAGGCGTTCGTTATTGAGGGCGAGGGAAATCTCGTGGCAAAAATATCCTAATTAGCATTCGAAGTGTCCTTCTCTAATAGTTCCTTTTTTTTTTTTTTAAATAATTTTATAAAATAAATAAAATAAAAAATAAAAAATAAAAAATAAAAAATAAAAAATAAAAAGATGAAGAAGAAGAAGGAAAAAAAAAAGAAAAAAGAAAAAGATAAACAGCGCTCAATCGAAACCTAAATGTACAATCCTCTTCGAAGAGATACAAAATGGAGGACAAAGATGTCTCGGGGGTTAACTTTGACCATGTTCAAGTCTCATTATTTAAAAATTCATTTTAAAAAAAAAAATTATTTTCAACTATACATTCTCAAAATAAAATATTTATACTTCAATTCTAAACTTTTTCTTATCTTTTAAACAAACGTTCTCCAAAGATTCACTATTATAAAGCTCATTTAAAAAAAAAAAAAGGAACTCAAACATAAGCTTTATTGTTATGATTTCCCTATTTGATACGTTGCTTCCACATTTCATTTAATGTTATCTAAACTGAGGATTACAATTCCAATGAGACTATATATCATTTTAGTAAATTTTAATAAAAATTTATTAAATGCTTAGTTGAAAAGTTAATTAAAATTAATTGTTAACTTTGACTTAATTTTTTGTTAATTTTTTTAGTCAAATCAAACAATGATTAAGCCCTTGTTGAGTTCCATTTTTCCAAAATAAATTTTATAATAATTTTTTTTTTTTGGAATATGTATTTTAAAAAAATGAAAAAAAAAATTGATAAAAATGTCTAATTAGGAGAATGTAAAATTGAAAATGAATTTGGAGAGAAGTTAATTTTAAGATTAGATTTCAAACTTGGGATAAATGTATATATTAGTCAATTTTTATTTAATGATATTATTTAAATATTTATGTTTTATTAATTCAACAGGGATGCATTTACAAGTTACAAAAGATTAAGTCCTTGTTTGATGAGGATTAAAATCATAGTTTTAATAATTTTGATAAAAATTGGTGAATTATATGATTTAAAAGTTATAGGTTTCATGAAATATGTGATTGAAATTAATTATTAATTTTTACTTAAATTTATACTTTGATGATGCTTAAAATTTAAATTAAAGTTCAACATTGTATTCATGAGAAAACGCAATATTTAGTCAAAATATGGAACTCTTGAGCGAGGTTGAAGCAATATGAGATGTCTCTAATTTTGAGTTAATAGCTTAGCATTTCATACACAAAAGTCTTTACCGATAAGTTTGGTGGAAGAAATTGCCGTTGGCATTTGGCAATTATAAATATAGCGGAACTTCTCTATAATTTGTTCCCTTCAGGATATAACAGTTTGATTGTTTATCATATTATTAGCCTGGACAAGTAGTTGAGCCCAAAACTCCACTAAAAAAATAAAATATTTTTTACTCAATAATCTGTCAAAGAAAATGAGTGAGAATACAAAGAAAAACTATAAGAGAATTGTGATTATTGTGGTATTGATGAATGACCAAGGAATTGTCCTATTTATAGGTAAAAATAGTCTAAGGTTGGCAACGCTTCGATTTGAGATCAGTTCGGTCAAAATCATCACCAAATTACTAATTTTTTTACCATACTATAATCACACCATAACCACGAAAGTTGATTCCACTCGGTTTGGACGGTTAATAATCACGAAATAAATTATTTTTATAGGTCCAGCCGTATAAAAAAACAAAAAACAAAAAAAAAAGTCAATGAAACAAAAACACAGTACTAAGCCAATTTAGCAAACAATATCTCAAATGAAAATACAAACAATATTCCAATTCCCAAACGCAAAATTCGAATTTAATAAACAATTTTCATATATATTTAATATTTGTGTAGTATGGTGTAGGGTTATTGGGTTAGGTTAGTTGGACTTTGTGGGTCGATAATGGGGCTGAATTTTGGGTTGGACAAAATCATAGAAAGAATAATGGAAAACTCAATTGTCCAATTAATTTTTTTAATGGGTAATTGGTTCGGGGCAGAGGTCGACGGCGTAAATATCATACCCGTCCCACCTTATTGCACCATCGATTTGATTTTTTTCGCTCGAATCGGTTCAGTTAATCACTGTTTTCGATTTCGATAGTTCAAATTGACATCCCTAAAATAGGCCATCCAAAATAAAGATGTGTCATAAACACATCAAGGTTACAAATTCAATTCCCACCTTTTTCATCTTTTCATTTTTCCGAACCTACAACTTCTTCATTTTTCTAACTTCCAAGACCTACAAACCTATTGAAAGAAAATGCAATGAATGAATTAAATATATTAAAATGCACCAACATTACCCACTCATTTATATAAAATAGACGGAAAGATTACAAGGCAAAGATGGACTATTATGCATCATAAAGGTGAGCTCTGTATTGAACCTTCATTTAATAAAACATAAATTACTGCAAGGATAATAGTGTCACAACATTGAACTTGACCACTTACGGGAAATACATAAGTTCTGTCCACACGTAACAATCCAGGTATTGACATGAGCTTCAATAGCCAACACATTACGGCCTTGTGCTAATCATAGTTTTAAAATTACTTTTAATCATAGAGAAATGAATTTTCCACGCGCATGCTTAAGTGTCTATTTTAAGCCAAATAGGGATTTATTTAACTTGCACATTTTGCTTTCTTATTACAGACTCCACAAAGTCTTCAAATTGATCCATATAAATTTTCTCATCTAGATCCCCTTCAAAAAGGCAGTTTTTACATTCATATGATGAATTTCAAGATTATAAATTACAGTTACTACAATCAACAATCTAATGTATGTGACTCTAGTTATCAGAGAGAAGGTATCCAAAAAAATCAAGGTCAACTTTTTATATATAAATCTTTTGCAACAAGTCTAGCCTTGAATTTATCGACTATACCATTCAATTTATATTTCTTTCTATTGACTCATTTTTAACCAATAGTTCTACAACCTGGTGGTAATTTTGCAAATTTCCAAGTATTGTTAGGAGAATCCATCTCAACATTTACGGCCTCCTTGCAAAATATAGCATCAAGTGATGTAAAAGCTTCTTATAAAGAAAAGTGAAGTATCCTCGGTATTGAAAACATAGTAGTCAAGACCAAAATCTTTTTCAATTCCAGCTCTTTCGCTCCTTCTAGGTTCAACTAGAAGAAATAATAGAAAGAAACAATAGAGCCAATAACTAATCTAAACATAGAAAAATATGTGCACATATAACATAATATATATGAATGAATAAATTTCATTTTAAATAACATAAGCTTTTAATAATATCGACGTTCAACATAATCATAATGCATTTTGAGTTGAAATTTTTGTGCAACTGACTATAAATTTTAAACATTCAAAATTAATTTGGTTTTATTTCTTTTCAAGTTTTGGTTTTTGCTTTTAATTTTCAGATTTAATACAAATTCAACCCTTTTAATTCCAATTTTAAAATCATACTTAGTTGAATGGCATAAATTTCATTAGTGTAGGGCTTTAATATTTTCACACTAGAGTATGGTTATTTTTTGTGTTTCTCTCTATACTTTCTTCTATATTTTTTACAAATTGATAAAGGCTTATTCTTTCTCTCCATGTAGTTGTCCCTATATAGAAAAAGAATTAATTATAAAAAAATTTGAAGCCGTGCAGTTTCGATAGAGGACATCATTTTAGGCAAGAATCTGAGGTCAGTCCTTTCTAATTCTATCCTCTATTATTATGTGTTAACTTTATTTTGTTTATATTTTCAATTGGTTATTTAGTTACACAAATCACTTGATATCTCCAACCATCTAAAATCGTGTCATCATTTGTTAATGTATATTCTTGGTAGGTGAGAGTATTGTAAAGTATTCACAACTTTGATGAAGCCTATTTTTTGAATAAATTTTGTAAAAAATGATATTTAAAAAAAAAAAACTAGTGAGGAAAATGTGTGTTGCATGTTTGTTAGTGAATGTTAAATATAAGTATATGATAATTGTTGAACGGAGATGCACGACAATATTTTATAAACTAAAATTGAATAAAGTGAACACAAGAAAGACTAACAAGAAAATTGCAAAAAATTATTGTCGTTCTTTGAATCCACCCATCAACAATGTTATCATAATAATGAATATACATGTTGAAAAGAGCACATTATTTGCAAGCTCAATTAATCCGTACGATTTGAAATAATCATGCAAACCAAGCATAAAATTATTTAAAAAATCACGTTAAGTCAGTGAATAACTTTTAAAATAACCATTGATGTAATTTCATTACTCACCGAACTTTTGAAGCACCATTCAAGTAGATGGCAACATTCACAAATCAAAAATGTATTTAGTTAAACAAGAAATTTATTATCCTGATACATTAGTTGTTCAAGATTATGAACAATAAATACTTAAAATAATTCCTTTCATAGCCTTGTTCAATGTGGAAGGAAGAAACAATAAAATGTATGCATCAAGTTATGGTATAACAGTCTCGTGATAGAGCTGCACACTCAATTTTAATAAGTTGCGAGATGATGCAAACCATCAATTCTGAAGACACTCTCACCCACAATTTAGTAACATTGTTTCCAACACAATCAGATGCTTATTATTTCTCTTGTACATGTTAGAATTATAGTTGTTCAAAATAATAATAATAATAAAAATTGTTGTGGGCTTAACCATGCGGCCGCATGAGGCCCTCCCGAGAATGGGAGGGCCATTTGCACTATAACCATGCGACCGCATGGTTATAGCCCATGCGCACCATTTTTCTTTTGAATTTGGTGCCTTTTCAACATAATTTTGCACCATTTCATGGGAACTCTTCAAAGCCTATAAATAGGTGTTCCAATTGCAATGAAAAACACTCTTGAGAAAATTAAGAAATCCACCCCAAAATTATTCTCCCAAATTATCACATAATCAATCCTATATCTATTTTCACTTGTTCTTTGTGAAAGATATACTTTGCTTTTGGTGTTTTTCACACAAAGGCTTGTTTAATCCTACAAATTATTTGCCGGAACTCCTCCAAAGCATTGGAAAGGGGG